ACTGTGTCAGGCCAGGAGCCTCCTGCGGCACTGCATCTCACCTGCAAGTCTGCAGGATCCAGGGTCATCGCTCCGGTAATGGCGATGTCCTCAGATGCTCCGACAGCCCTCTTCTGTGCATGCTTCTCCCTTGGGAATGCAGATATGGGAGGAATGGAAGAGGAAGCCAGCGTGTGCATTCCTGAATCCCTGTGGCACAGGCTGCACAATCGCATCACTCAGCAGCATTGCAGACCAGCACCTGTGTGTACAAGTGTCCCATAGCTACACTTCATGTGCTAGTGTTGGGGTGCCATCCCATAATGCTAGTCTTGAGGTGCCATTCCACAGATGCTAATCTTGGGATGCCATATTGTATGCATGTTAGTCTTGGGGTTCCATTCTATACATGCTAATCTTGGGGTGACATTCTATGATTCCAGAGTCAGAATTTAGAATATCTAGGACTGAGAAGATACATTCTTAGTTAAGTAAGTGCATGGGTACATCTGCCTTAACTAGATTTAATATATATATATATATATATATTTATGGAACATCTACCAGGTATTAGAGTGTCAGATGGAGTGTCATTTTTGAAGAACTTAGTTTTTAGTTGGCTATGAAAATGTCTGTGTCATCACTGATTGATGAGCACGGCCTAACAAATACATAGGCTGTGTTGTTTAGCTTTTGTTATTTTTACAAAGGCTAGGAGTTATCTAGGAAGAGAAATCAAAGAATGCCTCCATTAGATAGAGGTAAGTCTGTGGGGGCATTTTCTTGATTGATTGATGTGCTAGGACCCAACCCACTAGGGGCAGTAACCCCGGGCAGGTGGTCCAGGGGCGTATGCGAAAGCAAACTGAGCAAGCCAGAAAGCAGTACTCCATGGCTTCTGATTGAGTTCCTGCCTCCCCGTTCCTGCCTTGGGTTCCTGGCCTTGCTCCTTTCACTGATGGGCAATGATGTAGACATGTGAGCCAAATAAGTCCTATCCCTTCCATGTTGATTTTGGTCAGATCACAACAACAGAAACTTAACTAAGACAGACACATACACAATATTAACACTGGACAATGACTCCAACCAGATTGAGTAATGAGCAGGGATTAAAAGGGGTCCCTTTGATGAAGTCAGCCATATAACTGGGAGCATCCTTTGCCAGACCTAGGAACTAACCCTAAGGAACAGGACAGAAGCTGTTGGGACAGACCCTGAGGTAGCTAACACCCAAGATTTCCTCAGCCAGGGCAAGGGCTTCAGATTTTAGTTCCAGTGCTATCTATTTTTCCTCCAAACCCAGGGTTTACACTAACTCACCACTGACACATGGGGGAGCCAAAAAGAAAATTAACATTGAAGAATGGATGTCTGAAATTCCGAGAAATATCTTTATTCAGGAACAAAATGGTAAAACTGACCAAGAACCCCCATCTCATCTCCAAGCACTTAGCTTGCATACTTCTTGGCCAACACTGCACAGGGTTACTATCCAGCCCCTTCCTGACGCCCTCAGAGAGCCTCCTCCCTCAGGGCTATTTGTTTATGTGCAGTGGTGATGAAGAGCCTGGAGACATCCTTGTCTGTACTCTGATGTTATGCTAATGTATGTAAATGAATAATTATGTTTTTGAAATGTTGCATCCTTGAGTGGTATACGGTATCAATGTGTGATATTTAAGCACTAAATCACAACATAAACAGCAGGGAGATCATTTATTTTCATGAAGTCTCAGAACTGTAACACACTGCAGGGGGCACAGTAAGTCTTAGGATGGAGAAGCAGCAAGAGGTGCCCACCCTCCCCCTGAGCATGCTGTCTGGGCTTCTCAGAATGAACTTGCATCGTCTTCCCAGCCATTTGGTCATATTCAATGAGACATCACTCTACGGTATGTGTGTCATATAGAAGTGCTTTTGCAAATATAACAGCACAAGTCTGTAGTTAGGAAAGGCTTACTTGATTGAAATTCTCAGTGAAGAAATGTTATGGTAGATGAATGCTATTTTGGATGGAGAGATAATTGAGGCTTTAAAATGTCTCCTGTTAATCCTAAGTAATTATCATTATTATTTTAGTAACTCATCAGTTTATATGGCTAAGCACTAGACTGTGAGCGAATATCTCCGCAGATCATCTCCACCTTACAACGGGTGGACTTCATTGTGTTTCGTTACAAAGTGTGAATTATGACTTTCCAGAAACAACACTGCAACTCTTGAAGCCTGTGTCTTTTTCTGGGTTTATCCCATGCATGACAATGCGCTAATGAAGACAGAACATTGAACCACAGTTCCTGTCATCATGTGATCAAAGGGGAACAAGAGCAGGGGACATGGTTCGGTTGGTATAGCTCTTGCCTTACAAGCATGGTGATCTGAGTTTGATCCCCAGAACCCCAACATTTTCATAAAGTCCAGGTGTGGAGGCACAAGCTTGCAATCCCAGAGCTCACTGGCCCACCAAACTTGTGGAATTAGCAACTTCCTAATCAAGTGAGACTCTCGTCAGAAAACAAAGGTAGATGGCATCTGGAGGTTGTTCTCCGGCCTCCACACATGTGTATACACAACATGTGCACATACACAAGTGTGCACACATGAGCGCATGTGCACACACATTTACACACGTGCACACGCTCACACATGCACGCGCGCATGCGCACGCACACATACACACACACACACCATGTCGTATTGCTAAGCTGGAACACCCAGCAGGTGAGGGAGCATAGACATAGTTTTGACAGACAGTACTTAGAGCTGAGAAGTTTATCAGGACATACTCACATCACACCCTGGGCAGTATCTCAACATTATCTCACACAGTTCTTCCCCAAGCTTATACAGATAGCGTCTGTTTTGCAAATGTAGAAACTAAGGCATAAATGGTATATATCTAATATCGCATTTGCCAATGACTCCATAGTGAAAGTTTTATCCCAGACTCAGCTCTCACCAACTAACAGCCTGCCTCAGAATGAGAACTGACCAGAAGACACTCTTTTGGGACAGATCAATTTACAATGGTTATTAAAACTATTCACAAAGGAAAATATGTCTTCTAAAGAAGCCAAAGGTGTGCCTGGCTATTTCTCCTTATTAACACAACCAGTATTGGCCAGGCAGTCAGTGTTCTCTGCACTGCAAATACAGTAACAAAATAAAACCTCTACATTCCCCCACCCCTCCCCGTCCTCCGAACACATGGCTTAGATAACAGGAGGCGAGGTTATCTAAGGACAGATAGGGAAGTAAATAGAGAGTGTTCTTTCCCTTAGGTTCATGTAATAAATTGTCACAAACCAAGTGGCTTAAAGTGAAGTGTATTGTTGTAGATAGACATGGGACACACACCTGTATTCTCAGCACAAAAGAAGCTTTGACAGGAGGATGGGGAAGTCAGCTAGGGCTATACACTAAGATCTGATTCTGTCTCTCACTCACTCACTCTCTCTCCTTTCTTTCCTACTTCCCTTCCTCTCTCCCTTTCTTATAGTTCTGGCAGCAGGTCCACCCAGGAGGGTGGGATCCTCACAGTTTAAATCCAATTGTTACAACAAGTAAATCTCAACATGAATTCAGAAGTGAAAAACATTCAACCTACAGCCATGCATTACTATGGGAACATGTATATTTTATTGGCCAATAAGTGGGAAAGGGGGGATTCTTTATATTCTAACATATATTAGTGGTTGGGGTTTGTTTGATTATTTTGAAGACAGGGTCCCATTCTGTGACCCAGGCTGGCCTGGGTCATATAACAATCCTGGTTCAGCCTCCCGTATGTTGGGATTATAGACTATCCCTATACCTGGCTGGGTTTCCTTTTCATGTGCAAGAAGTTTGAATTTTCTAGGACCAGAGGGACATTTTCTTCAATGTCCCCACTAAAGTCTTCTCTTCATGTTAAAGCTGCTGTGACAGCATGCTGAATCCTCCCACTTTTCTGAAGAACTCTCCTTGGATTCTCCAGGCTCCCTCAGGAGGGTACCATATTGGAAGATGACTTGTTCCCACACCAACACACTGCTGTGTTTAGTTATTAAAAGTATGTTCCTGGGCTGGGTGGACAGTTCAGGGGTTAAAATGCTTGCCCTGCAAGTGTGAGGACTGAAATGTGGGTCCCCAAACCCAGTAGTGCAGTTGGACATGGTGGTCTACCTTGAAGGGCAGAAGCAGGGAATCCTCAGAGCAAGCTGGCTAGAGAGACTAGACATATCTATGAGATCTGGGTTCATCAAAGACCTTGGTCTGTCCCACTGAATAAGATGAAAGAACAATTAAGGATGATTAATGCATTCCTAATGAATTATTTTAATCATAAATGCACATAGATACTAAAATAGGAATAGTTCTTGCTTTTTGGAAGCCTGCTCATTAGAAACACTAAAACCACAAATAGGGACATAAAACCACATTCAAACCAAGCTGCTGTTAAACAGCAGATGGCAAGGCAGGCAGTAAGGATCCTCTTGTGGTGGGGAATGGAATCATCGGCCAAGTGTGAGCATAGAAGATATTACTTTATTAAGTTCTACTTCTCTTCAAGTCATAACTATCCATCTTCATTTCCACCAAAGACCTCAGAAAGATAACATATAAACTCTAGAATTGACAGAGAGATCTCACTGCCTGGACAGTCACCCAAAGTTCCTCTGTAACTTTGGGGCATCCATCTTCAGCCTAAAGGTCTATAGTGTCTGGCAGACTTCTCAGTGAAGAAGGAAATTTGAAACTGTCCTGCCTGTATTGGCAGTTTGTCAGTCATTTTTCTGTGTCCTGCAGAATGTGTAGCAGATTCTTCTATGAAGCAGGAACCCTAAAGGACTCTCTCATCTTGTTCTGGCAAGATCAGCAGTCACTTTCCTGTGGGTCCTGCATGTCCAGCTTATACAGCAACAGTCAAGCAGTCCAGACAAGAGCAGTTTCTTGCCCAGATGGCTATTTCTGCCATGTGGAAGGCAAACTCCATAACAAGTTTCCTCGATGCCCATCTTCCTCTCTGACGTAATTGGTGTTGCCAGGAGCAGTCGTGTCTCACTGTTATGAAAAACCCTAATAAACCATTTTAAATGCCATATTATGTAGGTCTTTGAAAGGTTTTGAAATATATCTCTATATATCTAGAAAACCTAACTAACATAAGTTTTAGGTGACTATATATAATCTGTATTTAATTATGTATTACATTTTTAAATGAGCTGTATAATACAATATCAAAACAAGAATAGAAATATACCTATAACAAAATTGACCTTAAATGTGTATCAATTAATCAAAATCCATACCAATACAATGTATTCATTTCTATATCATATTCCCCTTTTTTCTATAGAAAGAAATTGACTGTAATCATTAACCATTTATAATCAACCTCATTTAAATGAAAACAAACATTTATAAACATTACTTGGGAATGTTGATGTTGTTCTCCCTAAACTGCTTTTTGCAGTTTGGGGGCACTGTCAATGCCAAGGGGGTCCTGAGAAAAACCAGAAACCTGTCCAAATCCTGACTGTAGTAGTCTGAGTCTTCATGGTCTCAGCTGTTTTGGATGTTGGATCACCTGGGCCATTGCTTCGGGGTTCTTGCTTGACCAAACCATATTAGTTTGGAAGGAATCCACAGCTTTTCATTTTCTGTGGAAACAAAAGCAGAACCTCTTTTGCAAAGTAACATGTTCTTAGACTTAAATTTCAAAGTCAAGGCATTTTCAAAATATATAGGTTTGGATTAATCCAGAAACATAATAGCAGATGCTGCTATTTTCTCAGCAATCAAACAATTCAAAGACAACACAATAGCATACAATATTCAGACTTTCTGTATATTTTCCACCTTTACATGGCTTTTTAAAATTAGTTTCTTTTATTTTTATTTTTCAGACAGGGTTTCTCTGTGTATTTTTGTCTGTCCTGGAATTCATTCTGTAGACCAGATGGGCCTTGAGATCACAGAGATCTGCCTGCCTCTGCCTCCTGAGTGCTGGGATTAAAGACTTGTGCCACCACTGCCCACCTATTCTATTTCTTTTTAAAGCACTTTATCCTTTTTCTTTTCTCTCCCAAGATTAGGTATATTTTTAAATACCCTGTGAACCCTTCAGAGGTTTTTCTTCCTCTGAATCAATCTTTACTGTATATCTCTATCTTTTTCTGACCACATGAGTCTTATCTGCTAAACAGCATGGCTAAAATTAAGGCAGCCGCTGGCCCCACCCAATTCCTTGGCTTTTTAGTAGCTTCATGGTAGAGTACTGGTAGGAGCCATGTTTATTCACACAACTCTATGGAGTTTCTAGGTTCATGTCACCACCAAGAAGCATGCCACCAGCGTTTTGTAGACAGTTTCTGTCCCACCTGGTCTCACAGCTGTTTAGCCCCAAATAAACACATAGAGACTTATATTAATTATAAACTGTTTGGCTGATTGGCTTAGGCTTCTTACTGGCTGGCTCTCTCTCAATTATTAACCTATAACTATTAATCTAGGTATTTCCACATGATCTTATCTTACCAGTAGCTACATGGCATCTCCTCTCAACCTCTCTCTGCATCCTCTTCCCAGAATTCTCCTTGTCTGGTAGCCCTGCCTGGCTACTGGACAATCAGTGTTTTATTCATCAACCAATAAGAGAAATATATACAGAAGGACATGCCCCATCAAAATTGGCAAATACCAGATCAAGTAAGAGATTTTTGTCTCAAAATAGAAGGTGAATGGAATCCCGAGGAACCCAAGGAAGCCTGCAGCTCCGCATAAACATGTGGGCACACGTGTGAACGCACACGTACATAGATACACACAAAGTTCATCTTAATTAAGTGACTAATAACCACAACTGCAGAGAAACTAGAGCCTAAAGTACAGTGAATACCATGCATCTGCCATCACATTTTATCCCTAGCTGTTGTAGATACACTGAACGTTACAGTTCAATTATTTACAAAGGCTTTGAATGAATTTCTAATTGGCTAATAAAATGTTTTGATTTATTTTTATATTAGAAAGGAAGTCTTCATATTCAATATTATTGGAAATGAATACTATAGTCTATATTCTAAATAGCAGGAAAATAAGAGGCCTGTTGGAGTCCAGTACCACCCAGTACACTGGAAATGCAGGCATTAGCGCGCGTGCGTGCACGCGCGCGCGCGCGCGCACACACACACACACACACAGGCTCACCCCCAAACGCATCTGTCACAGCCCCCATCTTCTCATGCCCCCTGCTAGGAAGTCATCTTATTTGTCTATGGGCATATATGTCATGCAATTCAATTTAATTATGTGAGTTTGTTAATTAGGACACATATGCTCCATCTTGGATTAATCCACTTGATTTCTTTAGTGGGGAAATCCTACTAGATTTGTGGAGAAAGAAGACTGCCATCATAGAATAGAATGGCAGAGTTTCTTATCCTGAACCTCTCCAAATTCTCACATGCTGCATACATAAAATTCTGTCGTTTTTAGGTAAAAGATAAATATTTTTAAATCATTTACAATGTGATAGCTATACTCAACCATATGAAATTGCATCCTGTGGCTAAAATTTCATATGCAGTTACTAAAGTTATGGAGGCAAAACTATAAATAATGACAGCATGCACATTGGTTTATGGGACTGGTAATCTTACAGTGTGACTAGTACATAACCTTTCAGAAAGGATTTACTAGAAGCTCCCTAGCTGTAAATGCATTTATGCAATCCACCTTATTAATGTAAAAATATCAAAGTATACATTCAATGTATTTTATAATTGAACATAACACAAATATTATTCAGACACTGTATTCTAATTGGTAAAGGGTACAATTATGTTATTATCCTTGATAGCTCTTTTATACCTCTAGAAACACGAGCCTAAGGCAATCCTATCATTAGCATGAGTGGACACTATTCTTAATAAAGTGTGAATCTAACTATTCTCATGACTGATGAAATTCCAGATGACCTCAAGTAGTCCACATTATATCAAGACTTTGTGGGTTTTTTTTGAGAGTGGTGCCAAGAACTTCCCCAAGAATGTCTTGTGAACAAGAGGATTTTCCCACAGAGAACTGAGGAAATGCTTGTCAAAAGGCAAGTTCCACAATGCAACGTGAAGCATGTGGCCTGCTTCATCTTGTGCCCTTGGGACGTCCAATGTATTTGCAAAGCAACGAAGGGCAGAAAGGTCATCTTTGAGGAGTGCAAATCAGATGTCAGGAGGAGGATGGAATGTGGGTTGCAGGGCATCTTAATGAGATGGAACACCCGTCACATCTCTACAGTTTATAGCTATAGACTGTGATCCCAACCCCAGAGGAGGAGACAGAGCACTTATTAAATTGCGACAAGCAGACTGCATCTTTGATATAGTGCGATTGAAGGATATTAGTAAATAATTGGGCTGGGCTTTTGTCCCCCTGCTCAGATGTAAAATTTGTCAGTAAAATAGAACTCTGTTAAAAAAATGGTTTCCCTATTCCAATTTCTCTATTCCAATCCCCCAGACCCCTTTACAGAATAATAGGCAAAAATGATAATTTCTTTCTAAATTCTTTCCCAAAAGAGCTGTCTACAAAATAGTATCCTGAAAATCTCCAACAAGTAAATAATTCATAGGGACTCACTGAGGGTGGGCTTTGATTTAGAAGCCATGTTGCCAAGAGTGTCTGCTTGAACTCACTCCCTCAATGCCCTTGGATGGCATTAAGTAATTTGGGCAAAACAGTTGCCTTTTCACAAGTTTGTTATCCATATCTCTGAAAGGGCATTTCCCCAAATGAGTGCATGCTTTTAATGGGTGACAAATGCACACACAAAAGACGTGGTTTGCACAGGCAGCCCCAGCAGCTATAAATGGAAGCGGTATAATGACTGTCAACGCACGCCCCAAGCTCATGAAATAATAACACCCTTCCGGTACTTAGCATTTTTCTCTGAGGAACTTAGAGCACTTTGCAAGCCTGAAAATGTTTTTCTTTTCACTAAAAAAGTCCTTTAGAAGACATTCTTGAACACCGAGCGAGATAAATTCCACTCATCTCAGCACCCCTTGTGTAATTCTCAACATAACTGCTTAGAGGAGTTCATTCTTTCATGGAGATGATGGGAAAACATTTCCTCCTCTTCTTGCAGCCACTTTAATTCATTGCTTGGTTCTTAGATTTAAGTAAAATGTTCTTTTTAAACTTTACTTTGATTTAATAAACCAGATAAGGAACTGTACACTCTAGGGAATGAACAATCATTGAATGGCTTCACATATGCAAGGCTTCTCATTTAAGTTAGGCTCTGTCTGTCTGTGGGTATACATGAGCATGTGAGTGTACATGTTTGTGTGTTGTGTGTGTGAGTGTGAGGTATGTGAGAAAGAGTGTATAATGTGTGTGCAATTTGTGAGAGTGATATGAGAAAGAGTGTTCGTGTGTGTGTGTAAAAGAGTGTGTGGGGGTATGTGAGAGAGTGTGTGTGAGAAAGAGCGTGTGTGTGTGTATGAGAAAGAGTGTGCATGTGTGGTCTTTGTGTGAGAGGGTTTGTCTGTGAGTGTGTGTAAAAGTGTGCATGGTGTGTGAGTATATGTGTAATGTGTGTGAGAGAGTGGGAGGCATGTGATATGTGCATGAGGTATGCGTGTGAGAAAGGTATGTGTGTGTGTAAAAGAGTGTGTGAGAAGGAGTGCATGTGTGGTGTGTGTGGTATGTGTGTGTATGTTTAGTGTATGGGTAAGAAAGAGTGCGCATGTGTGGTATGTAAGGAATAGGCATGAGACAGATGAGACAGAGTGTGTGTAGTATATGTGTGTGTATGTGTGTGAGAGTGAGTATAGTATATGTGTGTGTATGTGTGTGAGAGTGTGTGGTAGTGGTGGTGTGTGTGCGTGAAATATGTGTGGTGTGTGAAAGAGAGTATGTGTGAAGTATGTGGTGCGTGTGAGAAAGTGTGTGCATATGTGGTATGTGCATGAGAGTGTGTGTGAGTGTATTGTGTTGTATGTGAAAGAATGTATGTGAGGTGTGTGTATGAGAGAGAGAGAATTGTGAGGTGTGTGTGAGAAAGTGTGTGTGGTGTGTGTGTGTGTAAGAAAGCATGTGGTATGGTAGTCGTGTATGTGCATGTGTGCATGCATGTGTGTGTATGTGTGTGTGAGTGTGTGTGTGATATATGTGAAAGAATGTATGTGAGGTGTGTGTATGAGAGAGAGAATTGTGAGGTGTGTGTGAGAAAGTGTGTGTGGTGTGTGTGTAAGAAAGCATGTGGTATGGTAGTCATGTATGTGCATGTGTGCATGCATGTGTGTATATGTGTGTGTGAGTGTGTGTGTGTGATGTATGTGAAAGAATGTATGTGAGGTGTGTGTGTATGAAAGAGAGAATTGTGAGGTGTGTGTGAGAAAGTATGTGTGGTGTGTGTAAGAGAGCATGTGGTATGGTAGTCGTGTGTGTATGTGCGTGTGTGCATGCATGTGTGTGTATGTGTGTGTGTGAGAGAGTGTGAGTGTGTGTGTGTGTGTGTGTGTGTGTGTGTGTGTGTGTGTGTGTGTACTAGGGATCAAACCCGGGCACTCAATGCATACTAGGCAAGCATTCTATGAAGCTGCAGAGTCAGCCTAAAAATGTGTATTTTCTTGAAATAATATTTGAGAAGTTGGCAAGCCCCTCCTTTCAACCATGAACAATTACTCATTTTTTTGAGAAACAGTTTAAATCAAGCCTACTATGGTATAATTTATATATGATTATATTTTTCTTTCCAGCGCAGTTCAGTGATATGTTTTGAAACCACTGCAAATAACCTGTCAAATTTTGGCATCTAATGAGTCCCCTCAGTCCCTTTAGCAATCACTTCCCATCTGCCTCTGACAGCCACCTTTGAAAACCTGATGTACTTCTAATCTCTCTTTCAGTTTAAAGGGATATTGTGTAACAATGGACAGCACAAAATTATCTCTCTGTGTTAAAGCCAGCTGGTTGGCAAGCTTTATTTTCTATTTCCACCTTAGTTTCTCCTCAACACTCATTCAATACGGTCCTAGGTTTTGGAGGTTGGGACGTCTTGGGAGACTATTATACAGCCTACAACAGGCAGCATGGGAAGAACTCCCAGTGAGCCCTCTGTACTCTTCCTGCCAGCCACCTGGGTCAGCAGCTATTTCAGCTCCCAAATAACACACAGAACACTACATTAATTATGAAGCTGTTGGCCATTTGCTTGGTTTCTTATCGGCTAGTTCTGACTTAATTATTAACCCATAACTGCTAATCTGAGTATTTCCACGTGGTCTTCTCTTACCGGAGAAAGCCTGGACCTCTTATTACTCTGGTGTCCTACATTGTGACTTACTGTGCCTCTCTTTCCCAGAATCCTCCTTGGCTCCTACTCCCACCTATCTTGCTTCCCTATTGGCCAACAGTGTTTTATTCAACAACCAATAAGATAACATATGCACAAAAGTACTTCCCCCATCAGTCCACCTATCTAACTAGCCTGACTGCTGGCCCATCTTTCATAGTCCTTGAGAGATGTACTTCCCTGCACTGATCCATTTGATTGCCTGTCCAAACTCTTCAGTTGTGGGCACTTTGAGGAAAAGGGGCTCCACCTTTATCTCCATGTTCCTTTCAGCAATAGAGTTACCGTATGAAAGACAGCCAAGCACACTGCCTTGGTGGATGAGTGGTGGCTGTGGATCCCAGGGTTGGGCACCTTCTGACGCGCCTGCTTGTCCTGCCTCCCTCTTTTCCTTTCTGCAGCTATGCTGGATGGATTAAATCTTAGGCTCATGGCTCGTTTGCTTCAGGACCCTGAGCGTCGATATTTGTTTGCTATGGCTGCCTCACAAATTAACCACCAAGTTAGCAACTCAGAAGAGCATCTACTTACTATTTCACAATCCTGACATCAGAAGTCCGTAGTGGCTCAGTTATCTCTCTGCTTAGGGTGCCTTAAGTCCAAAATTCAGGTGTTGGCCAAGCTCAATTCTTGGTAAAGAATTTAGAGAGAGGAATTCATAAGCCAGGTGTGGTGGCAGATGGCTACAATCCCAACATTAATAGGCTGAGGCAGGAACATTGTGAATATGAGTCCAACCTAGACTACATACTGGAAGTTCAAGGCTAGCCTGAACCATATAGGGAAACCCTGCCTCAGAAAGCAGAAACAACAATGAAAGTTCACTGATTATGACTGGAGCGCTGAGATCATCACTTTCCTGCTGAGACCCACCCTCCGCTCCTGGAGGCTCCACACTCATGACCCCCACATCTTCAAAGCAGTGTGAGCAAGCCCTGTCCTTTCACATCAGCTCTCTTGATTTCGGCATTTGTCTTTTAAAGGGATCTGGATGATTAGATCAGACCTATTGGGTTAATCACCATGTCTGAAGATCAACTGATTTTATAGCAGTAAAACTCCTTCATGGGATGACCTAGTCATTAAATTAGCAGGAGTCTGGAATGGAGTGTGGTAGGTATCTTAGACTTCTATCCACCACCATGTCCAGCTGAAGTTGTCTAATATCTTCCTGTAAGAAAAAGTGGAACTGTGAATTATTCTTACCACCTTATAAATACCAACTGTCACAATCTTTGTAACATTCCTAACAAATATCCTAGACTTTTCAGTGAATGAAAAATGTAGCCATTTTCTTATGAAAGTACACTCATTTTCACAAAATTCCATGTTAATTCTCTAATATTTTCAGTTCTAGTTTACCATTTGTGGGCAAAACTAAACTGTTCCTTTCTTTAAGCAATGTTGAGTTTATTGTTAGAAGAGTCACTATTTTGTATGGAAAATAAAGTATGTTCTGATATAAATATGCATGCAGCATTCTAAATATTTTTTGCAGCCTTTCAAAATTAGAATGAAGTGTCCTGAATAGAATGGAAAACCTCAAAGGGTCCTATGTGCTTCACCAATAGTAGAAGGTTTTCTAGGAAACTTGCCTGCCCCAAGTAAGTTTTAACGCTTCCTCCTTTCATTTTAGGGAAACTGGTGCAGGGAGATATATTTTCTTTATGCCAAGAACTAACTGAATCTCCTTAACACGTGTCTAATGTATTCAAAAGTTGCTGCATGTCTTTGATGTAGAAAGATAAATGATGAACATCTGTTTTCTCTAACCACAGACAGCCCTCTTCCATGGGCTGGGAGAGTTAATCTATAAAACAGTTGACCATCTGACAACTAGGTTGGTGGTTTATTAGATAAAACACATACAAAACAATGAACTAAAGAGCTTCATCCAGAATTACTTCATTTTTCTCATCAGGCCTTTGACTCACAAGTTATTCTATCTTTCATGCAAAACAAAACAATTTCTAACAAGAAAACCACAATTTTCAGTCATTTCAACTCTTCATACATTTGATTTTATGAAGTAAACTTGTAAGCATATAAAAAATAATCCTGAGTTAATTAACAACTTTCACCTGTACTTTTTTTTCTTTTTAGAAAGAACATTTAGCACACTTAAACTGTATGGTTCCTTTGTTGTTGTTTGTTTCTTGTTTTTCAAGACAGGGTTTCTTTGTATAAGAGTTCAGGTTGTCCTGAAACTTGATTTGAAGACTGGGATGGCTTTGAACTCACAGAGATCTGGCTGCCTCTGCCTCTGGAGTTTGGAGATTAAAAGTGCTCACCACCATGCTAGATTTAATTGTACAATTCTTAAGAGGATTTTTTATATCATTTGTTCTGTACCACAGGTATGTTAGCATCTCTTTCCACCAATGAAATGGGTCTAATGGGTCTAATAATTAATTGACTTATTTTGTGCTATCTGCTAAGAAACAGTTTCTCTAACATTTGTCCTTTGTTCTCTCCACCAGGAGATGCAACAATCACATTTGAGAACATCTCAAAGCAGACAAACTCTCCTTTAAGTATAAGTCACTTAGCCATATGAAGATACTATCATTTCTTTGAAATTATTATGGTCTAAACAATGCAAAAGGCAGAGTCCATAGTACAAAAATCCCAAGGCTTTGTGTATACATTTGAAATTTAAGGCTTCCTACTTGCGATACGAGTTGTAAATTTAAAATGCATCCATTTTTATTGTCTCAAAGCAGATTACAATTGTCACTCTTTAAGTCATTTGCTATACTTTCATTCTAATTTTGAACCGCATCTTTCTACCAAAGTTCAGGAATACATGTCTCTCTTACCTGTACTATACTAACCTGCTCATGCTGTGGTGGAGACTAAGAAATGTTAGCTGCAATTTATCATGCAAACACGGAGGCTTGAGAGTCAGAGGGATACTATTAATTATGACGGAAGAGCAGATCTACCCAGGAGGAGTCTAAAGGAACTAGGCTGAATTTTTGCTCTGATAACCCACCCAGCCCTGGACCTTGAGTCTCCTTTCAGGTCCCTAAGAACAAACAACCTTTATCTTCATTATTATTACCACACTGTACCTCCTAATCTGCCTACATTTACCATTGTGGCTTGAGCTGCTTCAATCTACACAACACAGAGCTCCTGAGTACTCCTTTCCTCCTTGACTCCTCCCCATCGTCTCCCTCCTCCTGGATCTTGCTGTGTCCTCAGGTCATAGACAGTAACTGTCCCACAACTGATAGAGCAGGCAGAGGCCACTGGTCTCTGGCAGACTCCTCCCTGTGGGTAGCTGTTTCTGGAAAGCCCTTTGATGAGCCCCTCCCTCCTCTGTACCTTTTCAGCTATTCACAAAGCATATTTATGCTATTTCTCTCCTTCCCATGTTGTGGCCGTTGGACATTACTGGAGAGGGACACAAACCCTCTAAAAATTTATTTTTCCAGATTTGCCCTGCTGTTAGCAACTGGATCCTCCTGGTTAGCAATGCCTTTCACCTGATAAGAATTAATGTGCTTTTCCTCCACAGTGTTCAGAAATAAATCAGCTGTTGTGTCTGCCTTCAGGGAGAATACAAATGCACAGATAGATATGGGTACAAAATGCAATTAAGATTGCAGTTTTAAAGTTAACAGTATGTTTGGACACGCTAAAGTCATAAATAAATTCAAAGAATGGGGTCACTCCTGAAGGAAGACAACAGCTAAGAAAGATTTCACAGTAAATTCTTGCTTGAGCTAAAAGCTGAAAGCAGAATGGATAGTCTCAAAAGGCAAGGGAGTGGGAGGAGAGAGCATCACAGATGGGAGGCACCACACAGTGAGATACAAGACCAGATTGTCTTAAGGTCAAAAGGACATCAACATTCTGAATAGCTAGCAGGGTAGTTTGAAAGAAAATGGCCCCCATAGGGAGTGTCACTATTAGGAAGTGTGGCATTGTTGGAGTAGGTATGGCCTTGTTGGAGGAAGTGTGTCACTGTGGGGTGGGCTTTGAGGTTTCCTATGCTCAAGATACCACCCAGCGTCACAGACTATTTCCCATTGCCTTCTGATCTAGATAGGTCAGCACCATGTCTGCCTGCTCCCCACCATGATAATAATGGACTGAACTTCTGAACTGTAAATTTCCTCCTCAATGAAATGTTTTCCTTTATAAGAGTTGCCGTGGTCATGTGTCTCTTCACAGCAACAGGAAACCTAACTAAGACAGGTAGGTTGTAGGCTTCATAAAGACCTGGGAAAGTCTTTGCCACAGTTGTGATTTGTCATTCGAGGAGAAGGCTTGGGAGGAGCTGGGGTAGAGGCACTACCTCAGATAATAGTAGTAAGTTCCAGATTTTTATAGCTCAGTTCAAAGAAGCTAGTACATGTTTATTGATAACTGAAAGAGCTCCAAGTGTCCAAATAGAAAGTAATGACAATGTGATGGAAATGTTCAGTATCCTTGTCTGACCAGTTCATACAAGTATCACACTATCCTACCATGTCCCATACATATGTTCACTCAGAATCATTATAATAATAACAAAGGGTGTAAAGTGTCTATTGTGGATGTTCTTATAGCAACCAATGAACCTGCATGAGATCCCCATGACAGGTCAAAAGAGCAGGGAAAATAAGTGAGAAAAATATAGATGTGGAGACCCAGAAATTGGATTAGTTGTTAACAAGAACTCAATGAAGCCCAGAGACCTCACTCCCTCTCTTCTCTGGGTCTGGCATGAATGGGAGAGCAAGACAGCAAATGGAAGAATGAAAGAGAAGTCTAGGAAAAGTTAATAGATACAGTTAAGTTAGGTACCCATAGGCAACCTTACTCAAGCCAACTTCCTTTATAACAGCAGCTGCATCCACTGCCGATCAATGTGAGGATGTAAAAGCTGGGCCTCCACCATCCACTAGGAATGATACTGAGGAGCCATCAAGCTTCGGCTTTCCTTAGAGGGTAGTTGAGGCCTTCTGAACACAGCAGCTCCTTGCTCCATCCAAAATGCTACATCCCTTCCCGTTCCACAGAGGTTGCTTCCTAGAGCAGTTCCCAAGACTTTCATGTTCTTGGCGCATTTTCAGGGAACTCAAGATAATAATGTATTTTAGTGTGATTAAGATGGACATGTGGACCAGAATAGACAGCAAAGTTACATGAAGACATTAACTGAGACCTTCAGATTAAATTAGACCCTGGGGAAGAGAAGAGTAGTTAGGAGAGTCAGAACCCTGAAGCACACTGACATTTAAACAAGTTTCAAGAGAAATTTGACAAAGGTTGGGGAACAAGGTTGAAGGACAGAGAGGTAAGAACATTGAGAGAGGGTACTATTCAGGGTAATCGGGTAGGTTATAAGAGAAAGAATGTTCAACAATGTTCAGACAGACAGACAGATAGAGAAGAGTATGTATTGTTGAAGGCCTGAGCCAGTTCATAGCACAGCCTCACTAACACTGACCATGATAGATTCATGATTAAACACAGTCTGCATGGTCATGAGGAGAAGAGCATGGAGAGCTTAAGGGCAGAAACTGAAGACATCTGCTATGCAGTGATTAGTGGGTATGTCTGCCTTATATGAGTGCATAGTTTGCTTTTAGTACAATAGACACTTGATGCTTAACCTTGATATTTTCCAAGAATCTGTTCCTGATCCCTGTGAAGAATTCACCCATGTAATCTTCTGATCCCTAAGATTTCACCTGCCTTTTCTGGTGCCCTTGTCTTTTTTCTTGCTTCTATACTCCTTACACATAGTTTCTTCTT